CCAGATTTTAAAAAGCCTCTATTGTGCCACAAAACCTCCATTTTCACATAACTTGCCAAAAATTTTCCCATTCATAAAACCATCAAACTAACCATCCAAACACACCATAAAAACACATAACAAAGGTGTTCAAACCATCATATGTATCAAAAATATTCAGAATGAAAAAGTCAACCTTCAACACTCATTATGTTGACTTTTTGCACAAAACACCACAACTCTCCTTATAGACCTTTTCCAATCCATTAAAACTTTCAAACACTTTCCATAAACATTGCTTGAATTTTTCCAAGTGTCATTTTACAACTGTAGAATTATTTCCTTGAAGTTCAAGTTCACATCTTTCACCTTAGCAAGAGGATTTGAGCTGAACAATTAAAGTTGTTCCAAAGCAAATCGAGCATCCCAAAGGCATTAAAGAAGGTCATAGAAGCTCTTTGAATCAAAAAAATACTTTATGTAACCATTTGAAGAGGCATTGGACTTTGCTCCAATAGGTAAGCGTGTTCTCATTTAGAACTCTTTAATTCTGATAGCATATTCATATGCTGTGAGTTACCAAATCATTTTCCATCATGTAGACATCATAATTCCTATGTCAATGGATCTTGGTCATGTCCATGCATGATTTCATTTTGTTTTTTTATCCTAGGGTTCTCACTATCAATTTCATGATTTTTTTTCTTATGTGTTGAAAATTAACATCATTGATTGATACCATTGTATTCCTCATGAAATTTCAAGCAACTTTCGTTTTTATATCTTTGCATTCCATTGAGTTTTAAACAAGTTGACATTCGTGAAAGTTTTAAAAATGGTGTTTTAAAACATTCTGCCATGTTTGTGTCGATGCACAGACTCCTTTTTTGCATAATTTTGCATTCTGCCATGTTTGTGTCAACCCGCAGTCCCTGCTCGTGTCGACGCGTACTTATTGAAATCGGTGTTTTTAGCTTTCTGACATGTTCGTGTTGATGCATAGTCCTTGTTCGTATCGATGCACAAACTCCTTTTTTGCATAATTTTGCATTCTGCCTTGCCTAGGTCGACTCTCGTGCATATTCACTTGTTTCCAAGTATTTTCTTCATAAAATTCACATTGTTAATCATGATTTCTTGTCTTGCATGTGTCCACATAATGATAGGTACACCTTTTGACCTTAATTCATCCATGTTTGATATTGTTATATCCATGTTGATTTGAATCCTTGTTTATATCCATGATTCACATGTTATGTAATATTGTTATTACACCCATGATTACCATGTTGGTTTAAATCTTTGGTTAATGTTGTTACATTCATGCTCACATGTCACTACTATGAACATGCTATGATATGTCATACTTATGTTGTCACTTTGGTCTTTTTAGAACCATGTCACATATATGTTTCGTTTATGTATTATCCATGTTTATGTATTTATCCTTGGTTGTTACCATGATTGTTTATTGACTTTGTTAAGTCTTGTATTAAATTTTGTCACATCTATCTTCATGTGTTGGTTGTTACCATGTTCATTCGACTTCGTTATCTCTCATTTCACCTCACGTGATCCTTCAATTAGCATCATGTTTGAATGTCATCCTTTGTCATGTTTACTTTGATATCATGCTTGAATATCATTCTTGTTCATCTCATCCATTCATCCATAGAACTCTTTGTTTATTTTGACTTTGTCAAGTCATTCTCCTTTTCCTCTTCCTTTCTTTTGTTGCCTAAATCCAAAGGAAAGATCTTTTTTGACTTTATGTCATAGGTAGCTTAGCCTCACCTTAACTACCCTTTTCTACTTTGTTAAGTTATTAACCTTTCAACTTAGCCTTATATTAGAGTTTGTAACTCTATGTAAGTGTTATTATTATAAACACTTACCTTCCTCTTTGGAACCTTGATCGTTATCAAGTGTTCTTCACTCGTTTAGGTGAACTACAATTGCTTTGATTTCATCATTGTAAGGATATTTAAGCATAAGACCGCGAAGTCTTGGCGAGCATACTTAGTAAAACCTCTAGGTCTTTCTCCATAGAACATTCTCAATCAATAGCAAACAAATAATAACATAACACAAATACAACAAGAGGTTCCTATAGAGTGCTATAGATACTTAGGGTGCTAATACATTCCCTTAGTATAACCAACCCCTGAACCTTAGATCTCTTTACATTATTGTTACATTGCAGAATTAGGATTTTATTCGATCTTTTTTCTTTCATTTGGATAAATTAAAATTCGGTGGTGAATATTCAATGTTTTGTGATTCAAGTTAATACAATAGCTTGATATCTGATTCTCACCGTAACACATAACATATAATATTCTAAAGTTATTTTTTATTAATATAAGTAAGGTATGTACTAATGACATCATTGATGAATAATCTATAAATATTCTTTAAATTTTAAAGACAATTTAGATTCAAATAAAAAATATTTAAAGTAATTTTCTTTAACATAATAAAAATTATACATAAATAATAAGCAAATATATATATATATATATATATATATATATATATATATATATATATATATATATATATATATATATATATATATATATATATATTATAATTAAAATTGTGGAGAAGTTTTCGCATGGAGTTTTTTATTTTTGCCGCTTTCATGTTGTCGCCATCGATCAAACCATCAGATGAATCTAAGCCTCCTAGATCGTTATTCTCTGATATTTTTATAGAAGGCCAAGGAGCCACTTCTGTGGAGTGTTTGAAGGAAGAACTTGATTGTTATCGAAGGTCACGATGTACGAGAAGCTTTTTCAAGAATCGTGCAATCTTTGGAAAGAGAGCTAACCATAAAACTCCTTGAAAAGTATGTGGGCTATCATTTGATAGATGATATGTTGAAGAAGATATGGAAACTTACTGAAGGTTTTGAGATCATGGACGTTGATAATGGTTTTTTAATGGTAAACTACGAACTGCTCGCAGATAAGGAGAAAATTGTGTCAGAAGATTTGTGGATGTTGTTTGACCATCATTTGACAGTTGCTCGATGAATTTAAGACTTTGTATCTCCTTCACAAATGTGAAGAAGACTCTGGTTTGAATTTGATTTTTAAGACTTAATTTATTGTATTATAACGAAAGTGACCATCTTAATTTGATATGTGTCGTGGATATTCTTTTAAGATAGATACTAACATTTTAAATATAAAGAGGAGAAATATTTGTTTTATAAGAGACAAGTGTTTTGAAAAGTGTAGAATTAATTTTGTTTAGAGAATCACTTCTATTTAAAGGTATCATTTATAATTTTTCTTAGTGTAAATGTGATTCTAACATTAAAGTAGACTACTCAACTTATTTTTACATGAAATAATTTAAAAAATTATTTAACTCATTTTTATCGGATCAATAAATTAATTTATTCAAAATAACAAAATACCCTTCACCACAAAAAGAAAACCATTGATTCATAATAATATTTGCCGTATGATATAATGTGTCAAGCTAAATGTGTCTATTTTTTATGTAGTAGTAGCTTGACTCATTTATTTATGGGTTAGTTAGATATACTCATATATTTTGTTAAGTAATACAACAAAGCAATATTAAAAGAGTAATCTGATGGATAATTATGTAAATGTAAATTACAAAGTGAACGAATAATTTTTGTCAGCTCTAGTATTAGCGGGTTGGAGGAAATTCACAAAATTCACAGTTCGAGTGAGGGGTTGGACGAGAGGTTACTAAAATTATCGAAAGTTATTTGGAAGTTTGAATTCCTAGTAAAATCTAGTGCTTCAGATTGAAATAATTCCTGAACAAGCCTTTGACTCGAGACATTTTGGCTAAGATAGAGTTTTTGGATGGCAGCCAGATGAAATTTGTCTAATGTGTTTTGGTTCTTAATAATTCATTCTTCATTGTGACTTGTCCAATTTGATATTTAACTATTTTGAATAGTAGTTATACATGCTCATATAATTTTTAGGATTTAGGGTCCAACCACTTAAATTGTAGGAATGAGGAGGAAATTTTTTACCTATTTTAAATAAGAGTTAGTAAAAGTTAGTAAAGTGAGAAAATCACTAATTAATACTATTATTATTTATAGTTTGTTAGGCATCCGCATATAATTTAAGATTTAGGACCCAACCTCTTAAATTATAGGAATGCGTAGGAAAAATTAATATTTGACTATTCAAAATAGTAGTTAATATTAATAAATTGAAGAAAAAACAATAAATAATTTTATAATTATGTATAATTTGTTATGCATCCGTATACAATTTAAAGTTTAGTAGAGTTGTCTTAAGTTTTATGTAGATACTGTATATGTTAGTCTTAGTTTAATTATGACAAAATAAATAGAGGTCATATTTATTCACGATTTAATATAAAAAATATTTTATTAGGCTTTATTTAACTATAATTTAGTTCTAAAAAATTTGAAGTCCCTGTGCAGTAGCTTATTTTTCACGTCTTCAAAAACGGTAATGAGATTTACATGTCCAATCTTTTAAATTTTAGGAATGAGGAGGGAAATTTGATATTTATTTTGAATAGTAAATATCAAGTAGAGTGAATAGTAAATTAAATCAATAATTTTATACTATAACTATTTACAATTTGTTATGCTATAGTTTAAGGTTTAACCGTCCAATTTGTTATGCTATAGTTAGTAAAGTGAAAAATCAATAATTTACACTATAACTTATTTATATTTTATTAATGCATATTCATATATTATCAAGAATTTATTTATAATTTGTTAACCATGCACGTTAAATTTTAGATTTAGGAGTCCAATCTCTTAAAAAATTCAAGTTCGAAATACCAATCACTGCCTAAAAGATTTAGTGCCAACACAAGCAGACATAAAAAGTTCAAGTTCGAAATACTAATCACTGCCTAAAAATACAATTTAAACAAATACAAAGAATATAAAAAATGGTTTACAAATGAATACTTCTTGATCCAAGCAGGATCAAATTCAAACTCATCGATTTCTAATCAAATCAGCAACAGTCAAATTGTTAATAATGCTCTTGATAGATTGCTCCAAATTCAGCTCTCCATGCTTGATCATCATCCTTATTGTTGTTTGCCACATCAGAATCCTCTCTATATAGCTGTTTCAGCGCAGAGTCTGGTAATTTGCTCTCTGCAATGTACTGCTTCATTGTAATCAACTCCATCTTGTGTTTTCTTTTGAGTTTATCCATTTGCTTCTTTAGCTTTTCATTATCTTGTTGCACTTTTGTAAAATTATCCTGCACAAGAAATATAAGAATCAGGAAACTTACCTTCCCCTTAAGTTGCTTTCAGCACAAGATATTGCATATGATGAATTCGGGATATAAAAAATAATGAAGGGGTTTTACCTCTGCAACAGAAGCTGCATGTTCAGCTTCTCTGAGTCTGACAAGTAGTTCTCCAGCCGCATGAACAGCTTCTGCAGTGTCTCTAAGTTGAATCTTGAGACTTGTGTTCTCCTTTTTCAAAAATTTTGCTTCTCTTTCCCTCTCCACCCTCAACGCAGAAAGCTCGGCGGCAAGAGCTTTAGCAAAGCGGGCATGACCCCTTTTACCAGCCTTTGCTGCCGCCTTCTTAACCTCGGCTATGCCATGCATTATAGCATTGTGTTTTGCAACCAAATCGTTATACTTTTCTTGGAGGTCAACATAGTGTTCTACCATTCTAGCATGTCCAAGAACTGATCTTTTCAGTGCATCATCTAATTCCTCAGTGCACATCTTCTCTAACCTCAATTCCTGCTCCACCCTCTCTGCACGTTGCCGGTTGGCCTCGAGATCAACTCTTAGTTCATCAGTAAGACAAATCCACTCACTTTCCATTTCTGTCCATCTCTCTCTTTCTTTCTCTAGCTCCTCCCCACCATTATTACTAGGAGAAAATACACCACTTTTTCGCAATTGAATGGATCTTGATATTAATGAAGACCTCAGTTTGTCGGTGGATGTTTTAACTGGTGCTTCGCTGCATAACTGCAGCTTGCTTCTCAGATTCTGAATTTCCTTGAGAAGTTCTTCCTTCTCAGTAGAATCAAAAGAGATGCTTCTTTGAGGTAATTCTTCCCGGACTTCTTTAATTTCACATTTTTCTTCTAAATGACTGTCTGAGGAAGTGGCCCTCAGAAGCTGCAAAAAACATTAAAATAAATAACAAGCGTCAGTTCCAATGCTTTAAAGTTTAAACGGCTATAACTTTATCGTGTAAGTTACAAACAAGAAAGGACCTTGTATTCATCATCTTTCAATGAGTTATTGTCTTCTTCTGCATTTTCAGTCTGCTTGCTCTTTTCTTGACCAAACACAGCGATGAAGTTTAGTTCTTTTTCTCCTTTAAGTTTCTCCACCTGAACAAATTCAATTAAGATATTCAAATATTTAGCAATGTAAACTCAAAGCCACAAACATATTATTAATTTACGAGAGTAAAAAATCATCATACCAATTGATTTAGTTCATCAATTCTAGCTGCTTGCTCCTTGCAGACATTCTCGAGCTCCTTTTCTCTTGTCATTTCTTTCTCCAGTATACTCTCCAGACCCTTGAGAAGAAGAGGAAAAAAATATGAGTTCAACACAAGATTATTGAAGAGAACATTCCAGAAATTAAGCCAAGACATACTTTTGTAGCCTTATTTGTCTGTCCATCCAGATTTCCTGCTTCAGTGGTATCATTGCATGACTTTAAGCTACCTTGAACCTCATTGGAATCCTGATCGAATATTATTTTGCGGCAATAACCACAAAGCAGTGTAGCAGTTCTTTCATCAATAGAATATTTCTTCTGTTGCATTGTTTGTTCAGAAGAATCACCAGAGCTTAAGTGCCCAAAAGAGAAGGAATTTGAGGATTTGTTCAATGATGAGTTCCTCTGATGACAATCAATTATTTGTAACCCCCTCTTAAGACTAGCTGCCAAGGACTCGGTTGGACCTGGAAAAACCTTGCTTGATCTTAGTGAGGACCGCATAAGTTCATCCTTTGTAAATGACTTCCCCAGCAAATCCTGATTGGAACTTGAATTTTCCTCTGCCGGTTTGTTTGAACTAAGACAACTAGAAGAAAAGGCCACACTCTTCCTCTGTATATTCCTGATTTTTGGAGACTCAGTAAGTTGTGGTTCCTCAAGAAGCATTGGAGACCGATAAGATGAGCTGACAGAGATACTATCTGTGAATGAAGATCTGATAGCCCTTGAAGAGTAGTTGGCTGATGCATACAAGGTGCCATCTGATGCCACACTGTCCTTGGGACAAAGCTTGCTAAATGATTCTCCAAAACATTCATCCCCCTTTTCAACTTCATCACCACAGGACATATCTGCATCACAATTTTCCTCAACAGAATAATACTGGACACAATCTTCACTGACAGATATGCCTATGGGATTCCCTTCACATGAACTATAAAACTCATCAATCTGCTCGCGTAATTGCCTTATGTCCTCCTCACTCACATTCACCTCTTCATCAATATCATTATCAATGTTAGGTAGGAGTAGGGAGCGATTTAAGCTAACCCTCAAATGATTAAGGCTATCCCGTACATTCTGTACATGAAAGTAACCATTTTTATTCCCATCTGAGCTACGAACATCAGCCTTTGCTCTAATAAGTTCCTCCTGTACCAAACGAACACAAATTACAATTTTCAGATCTGCATTAATCTTTTATAAATTATTTCCATTGAAGTTCTATAGATGAACAATACCTTTAGCTGTCGAATTTGATCACTCAAATCATTAACATCATCCTCCTTTATTTCATTGATAACAGGCTCATTTTGAATGGATCTTACTCGCTGTCCAAATCTAAGTGTGCGTAGTGTTTCACCATTATTCCTACAAAAAAATCAACAACTGAAATCTTAACTGCTAGAAACAAAATATATACATTGTTTATGTTATTAGGCTTACAACAGAAACAATGTTCTTTGATTGAAATACATACACATACTTGTTATCTGGGTAGATGGAACAGATTACTGAGAGTTTGGCATTTCCACCAAGGGATTCATGTAATAAGCGTGTTAAACAGGAGTTTTTGTTTGGAACATCAGCTTTTCCTGAGCTAGTTTCTTTAGTCAGAGCATCTACTACGTGCCTACGCCAATGAAGATAATAATTACCAACATAGATAATAATTACCAACATAGCATCAACTTAACTAGAGAAAATATAATCTAGCAACGAATCACATCCTTACCCAAGCTGAGATAAAGATTTCTTTACATTTTTGGTTTCCCTTAGACATTGTCTGCCTGCCCCATCAACTTTGTTCCTGTCCTGTCCTGCAAGATCAATAAGGCTAATTCTGCTACTTTTTGAACTACTGAAACCGTTTGTTGAAGCTCCCTGCAGCATCAATCAATAAAATCAGACATAGCAATTGAGCAATAGAGAGAATTAACAGTATAAAAACCAGTCTTCAATCTTGAACAAGAGAAATGACAGTACTAAAGCGAATCATGTTAAAACAAAATTACATTGGAAATACCTTACACCAAGACTCAATCACAATAGTGAAAATGATATGAGATCTAGAGCTCTTAGAATTTAAGGTTGTTGCTCCAACTTTTCTGCTAGAGAGGCCCTGAAGCATACGAAAATCAAATCAACTTGGCTGATTAAGAATTTGCATATTCACGAATCAACAATATTTGCTTTCACGCTTCCCTACCTTAATTAGAATTTGTGTCACATCATCATAGCTAGTGACATATTCCTCACTCAGATTCTCTAAGGACAGCGCATTTTTGGAGTCATCCTTCATCTGAGATAATTTGGACCAAGCCATTATTATAATAATGCAGCAATGAAAACAAAATTGGAAGTAAATAATATTTTAATGACAAAAACAGTACCACAAAAGTAGCAGCCATATTGCTTACCTCAAGGTTCCGCTGGGTTGGATCAAGTAAATCCCCAATTTCTTCATTGTATATCTATTTCAAACAACAACAGAAAAAGATCATTATCGGAATCGAACAACCCCCGAAATCATCACAAGCCCAGAATGGAAGAAACTTCACAAAGAATTACCTCAAGAAAACAACACCGACACTGATAGTTGAACTGTTTCCCCTCAGACATGCGCTGTTCCTAACATAGTTATTCCAAAAACAGTCAAAACTAAAAAAACAGAAAGCAAAATTCAAAGCATTAGTAGTTTAAGCAGGAGGTAAAACACACCTTTTCAAGCTCAGAAAACAACATTTGAAATATCCGAGGTACAATTCCTTTGTGACTTTGGGGTGAAGGCTCCTCAAACATGGCGCTCGGAGGACCCCACATTGTATAAGTCTTTCCACTTCCAGACTAGCAAAGAGTCAAAAAAGAACAAACCTCATTAGTCCATCAAAACCACCAAACATATTTTCCCTACCAAAACCTTGAAATTATACATCAAACATAAAATAATACCTGGCCATATGACAGAATTGAAGTGTTGTAACCAGCTAAAGCATTTCTAACCAAAGGAACACCAACCGACTGAAAAATATCTTCCTGAACAAACCAAACAGCAACTTAACATAAATCACACTTATCTTCCTTCTCTTAAGAACATGAATCTACATTATTGTATCAAAGAACCTTAATTACTACTTGTTTGAGTTTCTAATTAGGAAACAGGCACCTCAATCCTATGATAGAAAATTCTAAAATTCTAAAAAAAATCATAAATAGCACACACAGTGAAGTAAACGAGTACAGTATTTTACCTGGCTTGTGTTTGAATCAAAAACTGAATCAAATTTAAATTGTCTATCCCCAACACACAAGGTATCAGAAGAAACCTTCTTAACCGTTTCATTTCCTATTCCAATGTTACTGGTAGGTCTAATTCGCACTACAACCTGTTTCAAAAATAGAAAGAAAAACAAAATAGCTGTGAGTTTCGAAAATTAAGCTGAAAAACGAAAGAATTGAAATAGTTAGTAGTTTACCTTCACTGATGGATCGGATTCAAGAGGAGTTGAAATTGAGGTTTTAGAGATTGATTGTTTGGCTGTGAGAGGCAATGTTTCGTGATTGTTGATCTGAATAATGTTAGGATCGGTAGGAGGAGTGTTTTCGGTATCCGAACTTGGGGATTTAGGGTTTGAAGTGGATTTTGATTTTGTCTTGGAAGAGAATGATCTAGGAAGAAGGTTTCTGAGAGATGTGGAAGACATAGTTTTGAAGAGAGAGAGAGAGAGAGAGAGAGAGAGAGAGAGAGAGAGAGAGAGAGAGAGAGAGAGAGAGAGAGAGGGTTCAAATTGAAATAGTGAGAGAGAAGATTGCAGAGGTTTTTAAAGTTAAGAGAATTAAGATAGTGAAGTTAAAGAGATGATGATGATGATAAGAGAGAAAGCTTGAATTCAAACGAAGATGACCGTTGGAAAAGAATAAGGGTAATAAATGAAATGACTAAACTAACCTAACCCCTTCTTCTATGGCAAAGTTCTACCGTCTTTCATTTAATTCTCCGTGAAATGCATATTGCAATCTTTAAAGTTATTAAAATGTTATTTAACATGGAGTAGTTCTTTAAATCTCTTTACTATCCTATAGAGTTTCTTTAAATGGTGTTATGTGCATGTGAATTTTTTTATTATTTTCAGTTTGATTAAGGGGAAAGAAACCTACTACATTTATATTAGGATGTTGATGTATGCAGCGGCTATAAAATGAGTTTTTCGGCTTCCGTCCACTAAAAGATAAATAAGATAGATAAGTTTGTCAAGTAAAATTGAGTCTAAAAATCTAATTCGTTTTTGTCAAGGTGACAAATTAGCATATGCCCGCTTATTTATTTGTGTCATTTTTTTAATAAATTAATAGTTTTTTTTATATTTCAATTACATTATTTAAATAATTTTTTAGAACAATTTTATATAAAATATATTTTAAATAAATTGTACTTAAACAAATATTGCATAAATCAACAAATAAATATATAAAATAAAATTAAAATTACTAGAATTAACTAAAATAACAATTAAAAATCTAAAATCATAAAAAAAATTTATTTAAAATAGAACCATCAACCGGAGTTTCAAAACTATACTTTAAGTATTAACTTTCAACCAACCAAAATAAATATTTTAAGTGATTAATGACTAGAAGAGTTTAAGGCAAGACATATTGAACTGATAGGCGAACACAAAAGTGAGAATATGTAACATCATTCGTTTTAGAATTAAACTTTTTTTATGATTCTTAAAATTTTCTTACTTTTCGTAAGATTTTAAAATAAATTAAAATTGTTTTCTTTAAAATCAAATCAATTCTTTTTCTACACCATGTTATTTTTCGAATTTTTTTTTAAAGTAGCAATGTTATAAATTTTATTTACCAAACAAAATAATGTTTCAATTAATTTACGAAAATGGCAAGGTTTTGAAAGGTGGAAGCAGTCAGTCGCCAGATGAATTGACGAATTAGGCAAATCCCATTTCAACAGATTCGCCAGATGAATTGGCGAATTAGCCAAACCATAACAAACTCGCCACATGAATTGGCGAATTAGCCAAACCATAACAAACTCGCCACATCATTTGGCGAATTAGTATAACTTTATTTTTTGTTTTTTTTTTCTTTTTATATTATGATTTCATATTTTTAAAGTTTAAAAATTTATTTGTTTTTAATTATTATTATTACTAATTTAAGTTTAATATATTAATTTATAATATAATTAATTTATAATATAAGTTTAATTTTAATTTAAGTTTTATTTTTAAAGTTTAATTTTAATTTTAACTTTAATATAAGTTATAATTTTAATTTAAGTTTTAAAATATAAAATATTTTGATTATTATTTTGAATATTATTTATATTATTAATAAACTTATTTTTAAATTATAAATTAATTTTTGAATTTATAAATTATAAATATTATTTTTAAACTTATTTATATTTTTATTATTTTGATTATTATTTTGAATTTATAAATGTATTATTTGTATTAATTTTTAAAAATTTGCCAAGCCTGGTTTTTAAACTTCCCATATATATTTATAGGGTGGCTTTTATCAATGAATGTATAGTCACCCCAGTGGTAATCACTTTGTCACCAAATGCGCATTTCACCTTGCTAGCCTAGGTTCAATCTTTTTGTTTATTTTTTTTTTGTTTTTTTTCTTGTTTTTTTGTTTGTTTTTTTTTTTCATTTTATTTTCACTTGGCTATAAATACGAGCTCAAACACATGTTTGTTGAGTGGAGTCTATAATGTCTGCATTTTTAAATCAACGTTCTTCTTCTTCGTCATCAGCATCGGAGGAACCTTTTCCAACGTTTGATATAATGAAAAGAAATGCCCTTGTGGTGTTTTCAGCAACAAAGCCTCCGATGAAGGTGCTCCTCTGGAATACGCAGACGTTGGAGCACTTGCACAGGGAACTGAACCGCTGGCTAGAAGGGGATATTGCTCCAGGAGAAAAGATTAGGAAAATTGAGAGGTTGGTGGAGAAGACCGATAGAAACGGAGTTACTCGTGAATGGAGAAAAGTGGAAAATGATACCGGCGTCCTCGTGATGATGTTGACGCCAAAGGAGATAAAGTTGATGGTCGTGATATCGTAGACGCTCTGTTCCAGTGTTTTGTTTTATGTCTTTACTTTGTTGTTATGTTTGTTTAATTTATGAATGTTTACTTTGTTGTTATGTTTGTTTAATTTATGAATGTTAATCAAATGAAAGTTTCTATTGAATTAAATGGACACGTTTACAAATGAAACTATGATCTGTTGCTTGGTCCTACGTTTGGACATGTCGTACGATTGTGTCCTGGTTGCCGACACGAACTACACAATCTCACTAGCTTATCTGAGGTATCCATCTCTGTTCGTATGCGCGTGCTGTTAGGCCGACCCTTCTTCTTTCTGTGCATCAAGTCATTATGCCAAACAATTTCGCCTTCGTATTCCGGCCAATAGTCTTCCTTTGCCACCACATGAAAACTGCATGAGTAGACATTGCATAGACTAATGACTTGGTGAACTGTAGAAAGAAGGTTGGTTGGGTCCTGGCGCGCCTTTGAACAAGCTGCTATGACATGAGAGCAAGGCATACGGAATGCTTGAAACTTTCCACAATCACACCAGCTCTTATCTAATTCAACACGATAACATCCTCTGGGCCTTCCTTCATTGTGATCTATAGCCTCGACAACACTGAACCAACCAGCTGTACGGTCAAATATTGTGACCACGTGGGTGTTGGCTTTCGCAGCTTCGTCTTTCATGAATTGCATTGCAGTATCGCTGTACAGCTGACCCGATTGTAATACCGAACCCCACTTTGCACGTCTGCTATCAAAAAGTGATCCCATCCTAAAATAGGTTGCCTTTACCAAAGCAGTAATTGGGAGGTTTCGAATTCCCTTGAAAACAGAATTCATTGACTCGACGAGGTTGGTTGTCATGTGGCCCCATCGCACCCCATGGTCGTATGCCCGCGTCCATTTCTCCCTATCAATGCCATCAATCCATCTTAATGCATCCGCGTTGTTCAGTCTGATCTCGTCACGGTAGTATCTGAATGTTGGTTCAGTTAGTGCATACCCCGCGTTCACAACCTTCTTCCGCAGCGTCCTGTCTTTGATCTCCCTCATGAAATTTTGGGCAATATGCCTTATGCAATAGACGTGGGTCGATGGAGGATCCTGCCAACCGTTGTCATGGTTGTTGTAAGCACTCTCGATGGATGGGTGTCGATCGGAGATCAAACATAAGTTAGGTTGGGGAGACACGTAAGAGCGTAGGTTTTTTAAGAAAAAACTCCAACCCCCAGCAGTCTCCCCTTCAACTATGGCGAAGGCTATCGGGAAAATGTTGTTGTTCCCGTCTTGTGCAACAGCCATCAGAAGTGTGCCCTTATATTTCCCGTAAAGCCAGGTTCCGTCAATTTGAATTATTGGTTTACAAAATGCAAACCCTTTGATGCATGGTTCGAACGCCCAAAAGACTCTGTGGAAAATTCCATTTCCAGCAACATAACTCCCGTCTGGTGTACAAGCAGGCATCGTCTCCAATATCGCAACTGTTCCTGGAGAGTAGTGTTTAAGGGCTACTAGAAATTTAGGAAGTTCCTTGTATGACTCCTCCCAATTTCCAAACACCATTTCAACAGCTTTATTCCTGGCTATCCAGGCTTTTCGGTACGAAGGAGTGTAGTTGTACCGTTGTACCATATGTGCAATTATGGTACTCACCTTCAAAGATGGGTTGTCGCTGACGACTGATAGAATCTCATCACAAATCAATTTAGAGTTGAGTTTGCGATGGTCTTGCATAGGATTCGAGATTATACAGCTGTGGGACGGACCCATTGACCCTATCTTCCAGGAATCGCTTCTCTTCCTGAAAGATGCTGTTAATTTGAACGGGCACTCCTCGTTACGGCAATAGATCATATACCGCGTTGGATTTGAGTGATCAACTCTGTAATCGGCTGACAATTCCATGTGAAACTGTTTGATAGCCCGGACACAATCTTGTTTTGTACGAAACTCGTCACCCTCTTTAAGTTGGCCATGTGTTGTGTAGTTGGGGTTGAAGAAAACATCCGTTGGGGGTTCATCATCACCTAAGGTGATATCAGTCATGTGTTTTGGTGGACAATAGACATTCTCAGGTTGAACTTCATCCTCCGGATTGTTCACCATCTCGTCAACTATGACTTCAGTTGCTTCTTCCTCTTCGTCAACGACATTGACTTCGGGGTGTTCATCTTCAGAATCGCAAAAAACTTGTGACGAATCAAGTTGCTGAGATAGTTGTTGTTGTTGTAACGTAACGTAAACCATGATTTCTGAGAACCCTGAATACTCGTGAGTGCGGAACATGTTACGCACGTCTTCATCATCTCGCACCTTTAAAGGAAAAAATTTGCATGAATCAAGTCCGGCAAAGAATATTGGGTTTTTGTATATTATTTGCCCAACTAGACCACACTGCAATTTTTTTTCTAATCTTGACTTAAGGTGTAAAAAGTTAGACCTTCTGTCAATTAAAAATCTTGTAACCTCCGTGTTTCTGAAACTGTATCCCGATACCTCACATTCGAAAGTTTCACCATTCATATGAGCGGCAATCATATGTTGTGGTGTTTGAGACATTGTGGAAATTGTGGTGTTTGAATAATGCAGTGTTTCAATGTTTTAGTGTGTTTGAGACTTTGAGTGTGT